AGTACGATATCACAGTGAATAAGTTGATAGAATCCGTCAGCCTTATTGAAACTGTAGCGGTTTGATATGTTTTCATTTGTGTGTGTATAGGTATATATGTATTAATATATTTTTATGCAATTTTATTTCATTTGTAGATTTGTGTGACCACTACAGTAGTTGAAATACAGTTCTACTATAAATTTCTTTTGAGTTATGCTTTCATAATCCTAACCACCACAACTCTTCCTCATCCCATTTTCCATCTGAATAATTTTGTCATTTTGCCAACACTATGTCAATGTAACCATATAGTAACACTTTGAGATTGTCAAATTCACTCAGCATAATTCTTTTGAGATTAACCCAATTATTCCATATGTCAATAGTTCACTTTTTTTTGAGAGGTTTTTGCTATAGGGCGCATGCGCTCATCAGAAAGACAGACAGAGAGACAGAGAGACAGAAAGCAAGAAATCACCCTACTCCCCAGGGGGGATGGCTATGCCACAATCCCTTCTCCTCCATTCTTCTCTTGAGATCTTGGGCATGCACACACACTCGGTGTGAGTTTAACTCACTGGGTCCAGGACTCCAACCTCCGTCAACTACATGGGAGTCCAGTGACCTAGTCATTACGCCAACTGCTGGTCTTGTTCACTCTTTTTTATTGCTGAATAGTATCCTGTGGTATGGGTGTTCCACAGTTTATTTCTCCATTCATGTACTAAGAGACATTTGTGCTTTGTTTGCTTTTTTAATCTCTGGCTTTTACAAATACAGCTACTGTGAACTTGCATGTATAGGTTTTTGTGCGAACAAGCTTTCGTTCCTCTAGGACACATTTCTAAGTACAGTTGCAGGTACATGGTATGTAAACATGTCCAGTTTTATAAGAAACCACTGTGCTCTCTGCAGGACAGTTCTCTGGCGAGGGACTGACCCAGTCCCTCCCACTCCCACTCCCACTCCCACTCCCACCTTTCTTACTAGTAGTTCTCCATAAGAACAGTAGACTGCTGGGAATCCAATCTCCTGACTAAGGAAAGACTGGCTGGAACAGCCCGGGTTCTGTTCTGGTTCCCTAGAAACAGGATGCCCTTCAGTGTTCTGACCTAGCACATCATGTTGACCCTGGGGAATAAAACAGTGTGCTCTGCTTTCCAGGGTCCCTTAACTGTGGTGTGAGTGGGGCACATTCAGCAGACTCCATCCTCCTTGAGTAGCTTTCCTGAACCATAAAGGACCGGCTTACAGTGAATCCTAGGTTATATTGTCCCTTACTACCTACCTGTCACTTCATGTGACTTGTATGTGGGGATGTTCAGCCTCCAGATTTAGACAAGGTGGTAACTAACGCACAGCAAACATGCTTCACAGTGTTTCACGGAGTGGCCGTAACATTTCATATTCCCATCAACAATAGAAACAGATGAACTCTATTCAACTGGCTAATAGTTTTTTAGAATAACTAAAGAGAGGGGCCAGTGGTTAAGGTGCTGGACTCTCACATGGTTGACTGTGGTTCAAGTCCCGGACCTGGAGGCTTGAAACACATGCTGGGAATGTGTGCATATATGCTCAAAATCTTTTTTTTTTAATAATGATTTTATTTAACTTTATTTATTTATTTACTTATTTATTTAATTTGATCAGAGAACAACAGAGTGAGAGGGAAAGTGAGAAAGCAAGCTGCCAGGTCCACCACTTGTATTTGTTTTTTTCTTTTTTTAAAAATAATCATAATAATTGGGACCAGCAGTTAGCGTAATGGCTATGTCGCTGGACTCCTATGTAGTCGACCAAGGTTTGAGTCCTGGACCCGGTAGCTTAAAAACTCATGCCAGGCTTGTGTGCGTGCGTGCCCAAGATCCCGAGAGGAGAAGGGAGGAGAAGGGATTGTGGCGTAGCCATCCCCCCTGGGAGGTGATTTCTCATTTTCTGTCTCCCTGTCTCTCTCTGTCTCTCTGGCGAGTGCACGTGCCCTATAGCAAAAATAATAATAATAATATTAATAACAACTATTATTATTATTATTATTTTTGGAGAGAGGTTTTTGCTAGAGGGAGCATGGGCTTGCCAGAAAGAAAGAGACAGAGAGACAGAAAACTAGAAATCACTCTCCCAGGGGGATGGCCACACCGCAATCCCTCCTCCTCCATTCTCTCAGGATTTTGGGCATGCACGCACACATACCCCACATGAATTTAAGCCGCCAGGTCCAGGACTTGAACCGCGGTCGACTACATGGGAATCTAATGACATAGCCATTATACCAACTGCTGGTCCCAAGTCCACCGCTTGAACCATAGTCAGCCATGTGGGAGTCCAATGCTCTTAACCACCATGGCACCTGCCAGCCCCAGTGTCTGAAATCTTGAGAGGAGAATGAAGAAGTGATTGAGGCATGGCCATCCTCCCTGCAAGATAATTTTTCACTTTCTGTCACTTTGGTGAGTGCATACACCCTATAGCAAAAGTCTCTTAAAAAAAATAATAATAACTGAGGAGAGGCTGGCAGGTGGCGTGGCGGTTAAGGTGCTGGACTCCCACATGGCTAACCATGGTTTGAGCCCTGGCCCTGGTGGCTTGCTTTGTCATTTTCCCCCTTCTCTCTCTCTCTCTCTCTCTCTCTCTCTCTGATCAAATTAAAATATAATAACAACAAATAAAATTAAATAATTTTTTAAAAAGAATAAAGAAAATGTGATGATGCTTTTTGATTATTCTTTCCTGAAGATTAACTGACCTCTTTTTTAAGAATTATTTATTCAATTTTATTTATTATAATTATTATTTTAATTTGCTACAGGGCATGTGTACTCACTAGAGAGAGAAAGATAGATAGAGAGAGACAGAGAGAGAAAGAGAAAGTGAGAAAATAAGCTGCTAGTTCCAGGACTCAAAGTGTGGTTGGTCATGTGGGAATCCAGCATCTCCACCACCGCACCACCTGCTGGCCCCATCTTTCTTTTTAAGCTTACTTATTTATTTCCATGAACAAAGAGAGACAGAACAAGAGTGAGAGCTAAAGAGAGAGACAACATCCTCAACAAGGTTTTGTGCTGAATCCACTCCTTGCCCACACATGCCCATGTAGTCAGGGAAGTCTCCAGACAGAGGAGAACCCGGGCCCTTCCTTTGTGGATCAGCCTGGTAGCCCACCATGTTTACCACTGTGCCACCTACCTGCCTAACCAGCCTCTTTGAGATGGAAATATTGCAAAGCCTCAGCTCAAATGGCTCCGTGGTTTGGGCAGAGATCTGCAGGAAACTCAATACAACAAAGTTAGGTCAAGAAAGTCTGAAGTAAAGTGTTTTGGAGTCAGCTGGTGGTGTGTGGTGTTTAGGGCGGCTGGATCCCACATGGCTGACCGTGCAGTTCAAATCCTAGACTCTGCAGCTTGAAAAACACACCTGGCACATATGCGTGTCCAAAATCCTGAGAAGAGAATGGAGGAGAAGGGAATGTGGCATGGACATCCCCCCTGGGGAGTGCTTTCTCTTTTTTTCTTTCTCTTTGTGGTAAGTGCATGTGCTTTATAGCAAACTACTGACACACACACACACACACACACACACACACACAAATGCTTTTAAAACAGAGCTAAAATTTTATCCTAAAGATACTTGAGAGAAGATTTACATTTATTGAGCCAACACACCAGGCATTTCCCACACTTTATCTCATTTATTCTTTCCAATGACCCTGTAGGAAGGGTAATTTTATATCTATTTTAGGAAGAATACAATTGAGGCTTGATGTAACTTTTCAAAGAGGTCACAGAGTTACTAAACAGTGAAATGGAAATAACCAAGCTCTATAGACATAAGAATTACATGGTTTATTCTTTAAGAATTATTTGTTGGGACCAGCAGTTAGCGTAATGGCTATGTCGCTGGACTCCCATGTAGTCGACCGCAGTTCGTGTCCCGGCAATTCACATCCCGGACCCTGTGGCTTAAACCTCATGCCAGGTGGGGTGGATGGGTGATTTCTCACTTTCTGTCTCTCTGTCTCTGTCTATCTTTCTGGCGAACACACGTGCCCTATAGCAAAAACCTCTCCCCCCCAAAAAAAAACAAAAACAAAAAAACTAGACACTGTTGGGTCAGCAGGTGGTGTGGTGGTTGAGGTGCTGGTCTTCCACATGGTAGACTGGAGGCTTGCTTTTTCACTTTTCCTCTCTCTGGCTAAATTAAAAAATAATAAATAAATAAATAATTCCTGAAAAAAAAAAAAAAAAAAAGCTAGACGTTGTTCTTTCTATCTGCAAATTTTCCTTCACCAACAAGCCTCTATCCTTCTTCCCTCTCCCCCCAATTCTTTATTTTCTAAGAATAACCTGCACGTAGAACACGCAGATAAAAAGTAAAGTAGATATTTTAGCACCAAGCAGAAGGAAATGAGGCAACAGTAAATGACAGCAGGTGAGGAAGTGGAATCGGTTAAGTTCAGCATTGCTAGAGGCCACTCTTAGTTACTGAGGGATATGCCATTGCTGAAGTATTTTGCACCGAGTGTGCGCAATGGTTTTCCCAAGCGGGAGCACTGGTTAGGGTTAGTTTCCTTCGTTTTGTTCATCTGCTGCGGGATTAGACTTTCTCATGCACACTGGAAAGATGATGGTGTTCATCCTCCACCCCTTAATAACTACAAATAGAAATGCATTTAGGAGGTGAATTAAAACTTAATATAAATGCAAGACCTTCATTCTACACTTCCTGGAGTAAAATTCTTAATAAATATATCAAAGCTAAACCTTTTCTTTCTGCCTTTCCCTTCTTTGTAAGTGCCTTAGCCTGGATTCAATTTCCTATTCCACAGACCTGCACTGTCAGACTTTCAAACCCCACCCACGTGGCAGCTCACACGCGGCAGCTGTGCCAGCTCCGCCCCATTGAGGGACTCCTTCGCCCCGCCCACTTGGCTCCTAGTCCCGCCCCCCAAAGCGTAATCGTGACGTCAACGCGCTGTCGCGGAAGCCTGGCAACAAATGAGCGCAGGCAACCTCGGCCCTCTGGCGTCTCCTGGCCTGCGCATGCGCGCTTGTTCCGGGTGCCTTGAAGACCTGGCGGAGCTCGGCGTGGATGGAGGCCTGAGGGCGGCGGGGGCGGAGCGCGCCACGAACTGGGGGCATGTCCGCGGTGGGCGCCGTCTAGAGGAAGGCCGAGCAGCCGCCACCCCGCCTTCAGTCGCGGCGAGACGCAAC